GAACAGGGGTGATGTGGTGGATGGAGGGGGTAAATATGCACAGCCATGAAGTGAGTGCTTGCATGCACGTATGAACGTATGCAGCAAAATCTTTTAGAACTTAACAAGAATTAAAGTCACAAGCAAAAGTCACAACAATTACACACAGACAGAACAACACAGTGCAGATACCGACCCTCCTGGGTGGCATGGGCCCGTAGCTGTGTCTGATCAGAGGGACACTGTGTGGCCTTTTGCCGGAGTTCCCAGAAGCCCCAGCTTCCACTGTTGCTCTTGACATCGTACCCCTGAAGGTCAAAAGGTCGCTTCGAAGACGATTGATGAGCATCTGCTGGTCCACAAGTTGTTCTGTCTGAAAAGAGTCACAGTTTTTATCTGCAGATACAATGCTGAAGGTGTCAGTATCCTTTTCTACTGTTATAGAACTGGACACGTCTCCTCACCTGTATACGAGTACGCTCCTTTTCTTCCTCTAAGGCCCGAAGATGGGTTTCGCTCTCTTGAAGAAGTTTCTCTACCTCTTTTTGGACCTGCCTCAGCTCTGCATCCTTCTGCTCCAGGAGCTGTTCCTCTATGGTGAGAGCTTCCTGAGAGACACATTGAGAGATTCCTTTACTCTGACTTGTGGATATCTTATGCTTCAGTTTAGCAGCCCTCCTTTTTATTTTTTAGTAAGTAAAAATAACTTTATTGTCCATGTAACTAACTTCATCCAGTGTGTCTAAGGCTTTTGATAGTATGATCTCTGAACAAAAGCAAACATACAGCAGATAAAAAGGGACATCCATTCCCTGTATTTATTCTGTGAGTGTCTTAGATGATGGACCAGTTCCCATCAACTGTTGGATAAAACATTTTATTTCTTTTTCATGTTTTATCATTACCTTGCATTTGTTGAGTTCCTCTCTGAGCTTTAATATAAGGTGGGGTTGGTCTCCATTCACCTCTGAACACTCCTCATCATCAGCTTGATGTGTGTGATCGAGGGCTGTCAGTCTCTCCTGCCAATCCTGCAGTCGCTGCCCAAAACAATGACTTGGAGTGGGTCCAGGGATATCTGCAAGAAGGGCTGCAGCTTCCTGTGCCAGAAGGCGGTACGTTGTTGGCTCCTCTTGGTTCACCCTCTTATATGGATCAGATATCCTCATCTGACTGGGCTGTTCAAGGTGGTCCCCCTCTTCAAGTCTTCCACCTATCCTCTCCCTTTCCATCCCCACCTCTCTCTCCTTCTCTTTCAGTAGCTCCCTCAGTGTCTGCACTTCATACTGAAGCTCGCCCAGTCGAGCCTCACCAGGGTCCCAGGTTGTGGGACACGATTTAACCTCTGGGTGAGCAGATACTGCTCCGGGACGGTTACGAATGTGTCGAGCCTTGGACGCGAACTGTAGGACACTCAGAGTCTCAGCTACACTGTGGTGGGACGGGCTCACACATGCCACCATCAGCGTATGGGCGGTGCCTCCCAGTGAATCACGGAGGAGACGTGTAATCTTAGCATCACGGTACGGTATATGTGCACTGTTGCAGCTGTTACCACGGCGATTTCGACCAGGGTCAGAGAGGGCACGGATGACATTTCCCAGCGCGAGCAGGCCCGTGTTGATATGAACAGACTCTTTGAGCCGTGCTCCAGTGTTCCCAGTTTTTCCAGCACGCTCCGAGCCGGCTAGGTCAACCAGACAGAGTTTGGAGGATCGGACAGCTTTTACGGAGGACTTGTTGTTGTGGCAACACTGAGTAAGCTGAAGGGTGAAGATGGCGTGAGAGCGACTGGAGTGCTCGTTCATCCCTGTGGTGCCAGTGTGGCGCAGGGCATTGCCCATCTCTAAAACACTTAGTAGCTCCTCTGCTGAGTTGACAACCATCTCTTTGGCTCCCACCACCACTGAAAGAACAAACAAAGACCATACAATTACTTTTTTCTAATCATGGGAAATACTATTTTGACTGATACATATTATGTCTCCTGCAATTTCAGTAATGTCACAAGTGTTATCTCTTGGATTTTAACAAAAAGCCTAAGTTATAAAATGGGGGCATGGAGTTTGAAAGATGTGTGCATCAACAAAGTGAGGAGGGTCTAATACAATGGGAAATGTAGGATCCAGTGTGTCAAGAATCAATTAAGGAATCCATTCATCATTATACAACACAAGGCTGTATAATGAAATTAAAGTTTGTAGTTCCTTCATGTTACACACATAGAAAAAGATGATCAAATTCATAGAATAACCTACAAAATTAATAAAAAAACAATATATATAGTAATTTATATACACATATACATACACAAATACACCCAGGAAAAAAACTACAGTGCATCTGTTGAATTTGCATCTGGTTGAATGGCTAAAAAGCCACAATATGTTGACTTTTGTTGTATCAATTAACTTTTTAAACTGCCTCTTACAAGTTAACCGACGTTTTGGAAGTGCAGTACGGATTCACTGGAGTACATGAATGGACAACTTTGTGATGCAATGAATGTGGGCTTGTCCTTAAATAGGATTGAGGTAAATAAACAGCTGGAGAGTGGATATATAAGGACAAAATCCACACAGGACAGAGGGTGAAAACATCTTAAAATGAGTCAAAACTAATAACAAACTACCAGTCAGAAAGACATTTTAATTACCTGTGTTTCCCCTCTCATCCTCTCTGATATGAAGCTCTTTGTGGACGGTGTGCAGCTCCAGAAGGTCTCGCAGCTCCTCCCTGTACAGCTCCATATACGAGACCCGCACTGTGGCTTCCACACCATCACTGTTCTTCCTCTTCTCCCCCAGCAAAAAGTACACATCCTGGGCCACACGGTCGATAATTCCTCCCTCTTCATCTGAGAAGGTTTTGGAAGGAGACACACAGTTGTAAAGTATATTATATTATAAAAGTATTGCAAAGACCCGAGAGTAAAGCATTAAAAGGGACTTTTAAGGCAGATAACTGGTCAGAAAAGCTTGCTTTGTCAAAGTCAAAGTCAGCTTTATTGTCAATTCTTCACATGCACCAGACATACAAGGAATCGAGAGGACGTTTCTNNACATTTCCTAATACTAAAATTTAAATTTAAACATAGACAATACAGGCAATAAAATATGAAAATGTACAATAATATAAAATATACAATACTTAGGGTAGCGCAAAAAGGCAGATAGAAATGGCAGCAGAGAAATTAAAAAACTAAAATGTACAAAAGAACAGTCAGTAAAAAAAAACAGTAAATAAATAAAAAGCAGCCAATTTTATCTTTATATTTGAATCTTTGGCCTTAAGATAGCTTTTCCATGGCTTTAACTCAAGAACTTAAGTTTAAGTCTAAAAAAACTGCAAACAAAACTCAAAATCATGCAATTTACACTGTTTACAATTTGTGTTTACTCTCCACAGCTCCTCCAGCTGAAATCCTGGGTGCCATCTTGAAACACTCAAATATTACATAAACCCCACAATATAAAAACCCCTTGGACAATGATTCCCAATCTTCCCAACTAACCAATCCACGTCTGGATCTTTCTAACCTCATTTTGGGGATAAAAACTACCATCCGTGTACATTAACGTACCCAGGTTCCCCCCTCCTCCTCCGAGCGTGTACGTCTTCCCAGACCCTGTTTGTCCGTAACAGAAGACGGTGGCGTTGTAGCCGTGGACCAGGGACTCCACCAGGGGCTGGACGCAGGACTCGTACACCTCATCCTGGCTGGCTGCTTGTCCAAACGCGTGGTCGAAGGAGAAGAGTCGGTCTGTGCCGAGCATCACCTGCGCGGAGCCCGGCACCACCCGCACACACACCTGGTGGTTGTGCAGGACTTCTTTGCGAAGCAGGGGACGGATACGGACCGCCACCCGGACACACTCCTCGCTCATGGCGGGAGGGAAATGTAACGGAGAAGCACTATGGTTAATGTGGCGTTAATTTACTCGTACGTGGCTTAACTTTCATACCATTAACTCACAGCGGAGTTGGTAAAACTTTTTTTTTTTTTGAGCTCTTAAACTTGTTAGAAGATAAATAAACACGAACAGAACGATTCAACGTTACATTGTGTCGGATACTGGCCGTATATTGGTGTGTTTAACTATCTTTGCTGTCATCTGTCTTGTTGTTGTCTCGGTCCCAGCTCCCGTTTGTTGTCGCTCCTCGGTTGCCCGGGAAACCGCCGCCGTGGTGCCGCTGCAGTCGACGAAAGCGGGATGCGTTCAAGAGCTTCGTGGAGGAAGGAACCGAGTGGTACCTGAAGGCAACAGCGCCATCGTGTGAGTGTGCTGCTTCTTCGTCACCTCCAGCTCCATTAAAATATCTGATCATATGAAAATGAAAAAGCATTTCATATCCCATGCACACCAAATACGTATATGGATTTATAATATATTATACCACATTATATTCATACTGTATTAAAAATATATATCCCATATATTACATACTATATTACGTTATACTGTTTTAATAAATAATGTACATCATATTTCTATATTAATACAGAAAACAAGTACTTAATTTTATATTATTCTGGTGTATGTGATAGTAGATGGTATCATATTACTCTTACATTACTAGTTTGCTGCTACCTAACACACCAATCTGTCGCTTTGGCTGAGACACAGTACTATTAAATGCCTGGTAATTTTGAGTTTAATTGTCACTTGTATATGAATATGTATTTATGTGTACTTATTTCTGGCCTGCTGCTACGCAAGAATTCCCCCTCTGGGGATTAATAAAGGTTAATTTTATCTTATATTAATGATCTAAGCTCTAACAATTTAATTCATTATTTGATATTTAACATTTTGAGGCTCCAATAGGTTTCTTTTTCTAACTTGCAGGAATATACTGTATGGGCCTACAATATAAATATATATGAAATATTCAAAATCCAGTTTAAACCTCTCCCAACACATCTTCCTAATAGATATCTCTTACTTTATTGTATAATATTTATCATCAGTTAAACATTTCTTATTCCTGTTCATCCCCAAGAAAAGTTACATCTTTACATCAGGCTGCTTCTCCTGCCTTTTCTTCCTCCAGGCAAATACTAAATGCCCACAGCTATACAATATTTTTCTAAATTAATGTGAACAATTTGACATAAATGATTTTCCAAATTATTTAAGATTACATTCCAGCTGTTTGTCCCATTAAACATTGAACTAACCCATTTGTTATTACTCAAAAGTCTTGTATTCATTATATTCAAATGTAAGTTATACTAGATTCATCACTATGGTTATAATAAGTCTGTTCTGAAATGAGAAGACTTCTTTAGGCAGTGCAGACATCCTTCTTTAAGGTAAGAAGTAGATGTGATGATCCCTAGAAATTAATCTATTGCAACATCCTTAAAAAAGTAACATATACTCTCTAATCAAAATGTTTTATTTTCACAGTTTGATCAGTGTCCCTTTACAAGTTAAAATCTCTGCAGAGACACAGATGTGTTCATCATTGTACATTTACATACAGTATATGATCAGCTGCTCTCCATTACAGTGAGAAGTTTCTTGGAAAATGTTCCACATGAACAGTAAACATTTTAATTGCCTGCAAATGGCCAACAGTGCTACTTCCCACATACACCAACAAGCTACATTTAAGCTTGACACTTGCTTCCATTGCAGCGAGTGAGAAGCCCATTTGTACATATATCTGGCACAGAGACACGCTTGGCTTTATCCCAGGGAAAGGTACCCATGCCAAGGCTGCACATTGAGAAGTGCAGCCTACTGTAAGTAACTCTGCCAGCTAACTTGTCAGTAGTAAACACAGCGGGTGTGGTGTATGGGAATGTGGGCCATCTCTTTGTGGTGCTGCTTGGCGTAAGGCCACAGGTAGAAGTCGATGATTGCGGAGTTTATGTTGCAGGTCTGTCCATCTTTCTCCTGCACCAGCTTGCAAAGACGGTCTTTGATCAGCTCCACAGACCAAATTGAACAACCTCGGATTTCGACCTCTCGTCTGTCCCCTGAACTCAGCAGCTCGCCTGAGAGAAATAAGATAAAAACGCATAGCACGCAGAGCGATTATGGCTTTCTATTTTTAAATGTTTAATTTCTTTATGACCAGAGAAACACGCGCACATACACTCCTGTCTCACCGTTCTTCAGGGCCTGCATCAGTGCGTCAGAGTATCGTAGTGCTCCAAAGTATACGAGAACCTGAGGGACCCTGTAGTCTGCGAACATGGTGAGCCAGTCAATGTCAATGGTGTCTTCCTCTCCTCTGGCCTCCATGATGCCCCAGAAATCTGCCACCAGGATCTGGGCTCGCTTGTAGAACGAGATTCTCTTCCCCTGAAACAAACAGAGGGCATCTCTACAATCTTTATGTGCTGTTTGATCATTTGTTCTTAAGCCTTTGTTATTTATTACTAGACAGATGTTGTCGTACTAAGATAATATAATAAAGAGTAATTTACTCCTTCGCTGATTGTATAATATGAAGAGAGCATTAGAAATCTTGCTGCGCTGTCTTTGGCCAGAAGATGGAACCCTCACACCACAATTTATCTTAAGTTCTCCAAATGCATACATTTATCTCAGACCACATGCATTTCCTATGTTTTATACATTGTATATATTTTCATAAGATTATGAATTCAAAGTCTTCACACAATTATACATTACATTCACTGTATAAACAATGAATTTTGGAGAAAAACTGGAGCAAGCAATGACTTTGACTCCGTAAAATTAAAGCATTTTTTCCCCCAAATATTGTGGAAGTTACAATTTGCTTACATAGTAATATATAATAGACAAAAGACAATTAAACAAAGACTAAAGATCCTTGTGGTAGGTGGTTGAGGTCAGAAACAGGAGACCCACTCCAAACTGATCTTGCTGAAATCTAGGTGTTATCTTGGATTCGGAACCCAGCCTCACAAGCGACATTACAAGCATACTATACTAGGACAGCATGGTGCCACCAAAAAATATTTCCAAAGTTAAATCCATCTTGTCTCAGTCAGACGCTAAAAAACTGGTTCATGCATTCATCCCCTCTAAGCTAGACTACCGTAATGCTCTTCTTGCTGGACTTCCCAAAGACAGTATGGCGGCTCCGGCCTGTGAGAGTGATCACTGGGACAAGAAAAACTGAACATGCTACTCTATACTTGGAAATAAATTTTGAAATACAGAATTGATTTCAAAATATTGTTCATGGTTTATAAATCACTTAATACTTACCACAACTGTGCTGTCATTTTAAAAGTAAGCTTAAAACCTACCTCTCGGGCCTATGCCTGGCTAATGCCTCCATCTCTGTGGTTGTCTTCCTCTCTCTCTCTCTCTCTCTCTCTCACACACACACACACTTTTTCAGCATATGTGGGCGGGCAGGGGATAAATAACTTTATAATGTATTCATGTTATTTTTCATCTTTTGGCTGTGTGTGAAGCACATTGCACTTACACTGTATTAAATGTGCTATATAAATGAACTTGACTTGGCCTATCCATTACTACATCATTTTAGTATCTGAGATGTGTTAAATGTTTTAATCATGTGAGATAGGTGACAAAATAAAACCTAAACAACAAAAAATGTGAAATCATTAATCCAGGAGCTTGTCAAGCAGTAAAAATATAGAATTTCAAGGATGTTTTGTGGGAAAACTTTACTGGAAAACCTGAAATTTTATGCACAAATGTTCAAACAGGAAATATTCAGCAGTTTTAGACTCAACCCTCTATAACTCTAACCTCATATGTAGCTTCGTCCCTATAGGATGGGATCTTCTCTACGATCAGTTCCACCATCTTCCGGGCGTCGTTCCCGGCTCGGCTGATAAAACTCCGGAAGCTTCCACCGTGTTCCAGCAGCACGCGGCCGCCTTCAGTCAGCACCTTGTTAGGAAGATTAAGTATTTGATGTGTTCAAAGTTAACTTTCATGATGAGCAGGAGGTTAAGAGCTGCACACTTTCAATTTACACTCATCATAAAGGGAATGGAGTTCAGCCAGTAATGTAACATTAATAAATATCATAATTATATGAGCTTTGAAATCAGTTTTTCTTGTATATGAATGTATATATGGAAATACATGCAGAGAGGTGGTAAAAATGGAATAAAATAATCTGTCAAGGAACATGGTATATAAGGGTGGTGTTTCATGTATTATATGACTTGAGTTTATTGATTAGAGAGATGAGATGGTACATCTTGTATTTCTCACCACATCTGTTTGTCTTTAAATTAAAAAAGCACTGTTACTTATAAGTACTGTGAAGGATGTGTAGTCAGCTTTTCATTCAGAAATGTCAAGTAGTATGCTTTTGTGAAGTTTGAAGAAACTTGTGGATTAGTACCACGGATATGGGACATTAACATGAGAGTGTCAGGACCTGGTGGCGCTCCTGAAGCATGGGCATGGGTGTTTTATTGTCTGACCGAAGGACGTGTGCCAACTCCTCCACGCTCATCTGAGAGAAGTACTTTGGATCAGTGATGGGTATACCTGTGGACAGCGGTAGAAGAAGTATTCAGTAAAAGTAGAAATACCAAAAGTCTAAGAATACCCCCTTACGAGTAGAATTTTAGTAGCCAGTGTGTAGGATTCAGTGGCATCTAACGGTGAAGTTGCAGATTGAAACCATTTGAATAAGTCTAAATAATAAGAATAAGTCTATAGCCAGTGTTTGGTTTGTCAATTCTGGGCTAGTGTAGAAAGATGGTGGTTCAACATGGCAGACTCCACAGAAGAGGAGATAAAATTCTAAAAGTACGAAAACACAACAATTATAAGTGATTGGAAAACTAAAGAAAACGCAAAACCTTCGAAAAGCAAACTATTTTGCGATTTTCACTTTCTTCCAGTTTCATTGCAAAAAATACCTAGAAACATTGCACAACAATTTTTTTTAGAAAACCTGCTGTGAAACATATATTTTAGGTCACAACAATTACAAGAAAAGCTCTTGAAATCCTGGAGGGACTTTTTAAGTAAAAGTAAACAAATAATATCAGCAAAATGTACTTGGATAAGACTCTGTATGTACTACATCTTATATACTTTTTATACTACTTATATACTATTTTATATATATAAAATATAGTAAAATACTTAATGTGAACACAATTTTATAAGCTTTTTATACTACTCGGTAGACTATATTACTACTACTGTAGTGAAGTACAACTATACTATACTATAACTTTGCATAAAATGGTAAAACTCAAGTACCTCAAATTTGTACCTAAGTTCAGTACTTGAGTAAATGCACTTAGTTACATTCCACCACTGAGGAGAAGAAAGCAGCTAGAAGGAGTTATCTTTAGACAGGAAATACTAGAGAAAGAGAAAGAGGACACTCAAGGGAACTAAATTATGACAGTGTAGTATAATAACAGAAATATAACTCCAAAGTAGCCAGTTCTCTCAAGAGGCTCAAAAGACATAATTTTTTTCTGATCTCACGCTGTCAACCCTTGAGATTCACACTCTGGAGCAATGCTACCTGTGCTTTTCTGAGAGAATCTCTTGTAATTATAAAGACCACAGCGACCACACATTGAGAGCACTATTCCATATGAGACATAATTGATTCATATCCGGAGTCATTCACGCTAGTTATGAGTGATTCACGGGTGCACGCAGAGCTACAAGCAATTTCCCAGCAGTCCAAGTTCAAGTAAAGGGCACATACACAATAATTGGTAATAGGAGTGCACAACAAAAGCACACAGAAAAGGAGAACAAAAAGATACATAAAAAGGGCTTGAATATACGTCTTTTTTTCCAGAGATGAAGCTGCCAATGAAAAAGATAAATCTATAAAAAGGGCAACGATGTCATCTAACACATTACCATCTTACCTTTTCTTCATCCTGACATTTCTTTCACCTAGATTGTCTTTTTTTTTTTGGTACGATCTGGATGGTTTTCTCTGTTTTCACCTCAACTTTTCAGCTGAAAGTGGAGCTGAGTTGAGTGCAAGCTAAATCAATGTACTATTAAACAAAACAATACGTTATTTTTAAACTAATTAAATGACAGCTTTAACACCCCTTTAACCCAGCAATAAACTAAACTCTGGTGTAGTTGGTGCTACACATGCTCTCACCTTCCTCCATGGCCCTGGTGATGGCAGCATACAGGGTCATGTAGCCTGTGTACGTGGTCCCTTTATAGGTCACCTCACACTGTTGCGTTTCTTCCTCTGGCCAAAAGGAGAAATTCATGGTGTCGACCACAAACACCCAGTTCAAGGCCTGCTATGTGGAAAAACAAGAGAATAGAAAAAAAGAGAGTTCTACCAAAATGCTTAAATTGAGCAGTGAAAACTACATTTGGGGATGTACATTTCTGTCTTCCACCATGGGATCTAAACAGAGGATGCTCAAGGTAAAACGGTTCAATTCCCCCCATGTTGTCCTTAATATTTATTTTGTCTTTAGTAAACGTTTTACCCAGTTATAAATAATGTCTAAGCTGTGATGACGTTATTTTCCAAACTGAAATGCAGTGGTCGAAGAAATATTCAGATTATTTACTTAAAAGTCCAGTGTGTAAGATTTTGTGACATCTACCGGTGTAGTTGCAGATCGCAACTCTGTCGCTTCACCCTCCCCTTCCAATCATGAAGAGAAACTACGGTGGCCAGGAAACGTACAAATATTGGGAACGCCCCCCATTTAGAGCCAGTGTTTGGTTTGTCCCTTTTGGGTGGGCAACTGTAGAAACATGGCGTCCTTTAAAGTATAAAAAGCGTGTAAAATATTCTAGTATATTCTATTATTCAGTATATCACTAACAAATACATGTGAAAGCATTTTAATATTGTATTTCATCATTGTGGATCCAATTTTAGACCACATAATAGTACTGCATCGTATCATATAGGTGTATCATATGTTTTTTGATGTCATTTCTTAATCAGCAAAGTGACTAGTACCTATAGATAAATGTAGTGTAGTAAAAAGTGGAGTAAAAAGTACAATATTTCCATCTGAAATGAAGTATCGGTATAAAGTAACTTAAAATGTTAAGTACGAGTGCCTCAAATTTGTACTTAGGTACAGTAGTTGCATTCAGTCAAATTATTGGGCTAAATTGAGTTCGTCTCAAAAGTAGTTGACTACTAATGATTATGTGATAATCTACAAACTATCTGAAGCATGTGGGCGGCTGTGGCTCAGAGGCAGAGTGGGTCGTCCCCTAATCGGAAGGTTGTTGGTTCGATTCCCTCCCGCCACACGTCGAAGTATCCTTAAGCAAGATACTGAACACCAAAGTGCGTGAGTGTGAAATGATTGAATGCGTCAGTTTCTGTTCGATGGGCTTT